TCCACCCTTGTTAGTCCCAAATTAGTGTGTCGGTTAGCCACACATGCTCCACTAACGACTTGGCAAAGTGCAAAGTGCAATTTCATAGAATAGCTTCATTTTCACATTTTTTCCTAAGGTAACTAAGATTGAGAATTTATGAAAAACATCTAGTTACTTATTAATGAAGAACTAATTTGTCATATCCTACTTATTTGGCTAACGACCGTCCACCAATCAAGAAAGTGGTGGGTGAGAGTGGACACCCATTCAACCCCCATTTTATTAGCAGTTTCCTTATACCCTCTTTATAGATCGGCTTCGTGAATGAGGCCTACTAATGGTAAGACTGACTCATCTTATACATATATATAATTATTAGTTTTTTAATATTATAATAATATAATAGTTGAATTTTAAACTTTTAAAACTCTAGGTTTTAGATTTTAAATATTTCAAAATCAAAACTTTTTAGTTCAATTTTAAATTCCAAAACTTGAGTGAAAATTTTGAAACTTTTCAAAATATTTTAGATCAAATTTTAAACTAATAAAATAATCATATAATTTTAACTATTACCAATTTGACCTTATTCAACTAACGTGGCAACATAATTCAAATCAAATAATACAAACAATTAGTTTATCACATGATCTAGTAATTATCTTAGAATTTGAAAATTATCTTTTAATTGGATGAGGATAATAATTACTTTATCAGAAAAATTGAATTTTATGATTCAAAACAGTTTTTGGTAATGATCCAAATCTATTTCTGGTCAAAATCCTGAAAAGTTTGCCAACAGACGAGTCGAATCGTCGAGTCAACCAATGAACTCGTCGAGTAGACCCAACTCGTCGAGTCCCAAAATGGACTCGTCATGTTCATCAGTCAGAAAGTAGATTTCGATTTGCTTCAACTTTGAACATCCAACCAATGCATCAATACAACAGAAAACACCTTAAGCTTTAATACCACTAATGGGTTTTGAGCACTATAATAATCCTATGGTGCACATGCAACCCTAATGCTTTGGATCTAGTTTTTCCTAAGTTATACATGCAATATTGAATATCCAAAGCATAAACCCTAACTAGCATTCAATTTTTGAGAATTACAACATAAAAACAAGTTAGATGAATACCTCTTTTTTGTAGCTTGTGATCTTCAACCTTTGAGAGCTTAGCACCTCAAATGTGATACCTCTAATAATTCACAACACCAAAAGCAATGAGGGATTATGAGAGAGAGGTTAGGAGGCACTCAAAATCGGCTAGGGTTTCTCTTAGAAACATAGGGGCCGATTTTGGGAGTGCTAAAGGTTCTATTTATAGTGTAGGATCATTAGGGTTTTAACCTTAGAAACCCTAATTCATTTTCTTAGGCCTTAAGCAATCCAATAACCCTCTTGAAAGGCCCTTGGACAAAATCTTCATGGACCTTTACAAAGATTTCGTCCATACCTAATCATATGGATCATTAAGCTAAACTATAAGTATTACTTATTTACATAATCAGTCCCTGGTAATTTAATTAGTCTCTTTACAAAGATTTCGTCCATACCTAATCATGGGTGTCCACAACCTCTAATCTCCTTGATGTTCATCTGAAACAATGTTCATAAAAGTTTTTTTTTTCAAAAGGAATCTGAAGGTGGTAACGAAAATGGAGAATCCAAGGGCAAAATTGATAAACAAAATTTTAAAAAATAAGCATAAAATAGGTATCTACTTTCAGAAAATATGATTTAAAAAAACTAAAGAAAATAGTTACAACAGGTAGCGTGGTTTAAAAATGTTGCAAAAATGAAAACCAAATTGTAACAGTTTTTTAACTTAAAACAATGAACATCAAATATATATCAAAAAATTATTTAAGTAGTAAGCGAATTTTAAGTAAAGCATGGGGTTAAATTGAAAATATTCTCCTTTTTTAATATTATCTTCAATAAAATTTCTTGTTTCAGTATCACCTTAATTGGTATCAAAGTGTTGTACACCTAATCGAACAACTCTATTCCCCTTTCTTTTGCTCCTCAACTAATCAATGGAAATCAAAGAAGATAGATTGTTCAAGTTATGATAATTGTTATATATCGAAAAGAAGGATTACATCAAAGCTAAAAATATGGAACATCACAATATCTCACCTTAATCTTATTCCAACTACATAAATCTAGAAAGAAAATATATGACCTTAAATTAATGTTGAGATGTTTCCTCTTGACATAATTAAGATATTAAATTCCTCACCCTGATTCAGTAGCATAATTAATAAAATTTCTTAATGTCCAAACAGAAGTCGTGATTTTCCCTTCATTTCAACTGAAATCAAACCGAAACAAGTTTTGTCATCAGGAGTGTAAGCCAGTGGCCACACAATACTAGCTCCATCTTACAGGAATTCCACTTTTATAAAGGTTAAAAAAATCTATGCTAAATTAGTATTCAACAAAATCACTAGTAAACAGGTAAACAAATAAATCAACTAATCCTCAAAATTTCTTCCAAAATAAAGAGGCATAAATGTATTCAAACAGAAAGAGAACCATAACTCACATTTGCAACTTGTTAAATTTTGATACCGAAAGTAAAAAAGAAAAACCAAAATTTTGATCATCCTTTGGCAATGTTACGTTTCTGTGTTCTTCCTTGAAATTGGTTTCCAACAACTGCAACAAGTATGGCTATCAATAGCATCGAGACCCTCAAATTCTCTAAACAAATTAAAACCAACCATCACTTAACCATATATCAAAGTTTAAATAACTTACCTTGCACATAAATATAGAAGTCAATTTTGTAGTCGTTTTAAATGATGTCGTGATAAATAAGCACCTTGCCCCATATATCTAAGAATCAAGGAGGGTTAAACAAAGGATGTAAAATTTATCTAAACAAAATAGATATTTCCTAAATGAACTTACAAAAGTACATTGCTATGTTTCTTACATTTAGCCTTAAAAAGAAAGAAAGATTAGCAAACATGGATAGCCAATTGAGAAAAGTATCCAAAATCAGCAAACATAGCTTTCTCTCGTGGAAATAAAAGTGTGTGTATATATATATATATATATATATATATATATATATATATATTAAAAATCGAAACTTTATACAAAAGAAGCACATTTTTGAACGCTTACATGCGTTGGATGATAAGATACCCGACAAACATTTTCAACCTCATTTATATGTTCATTATTTGTTTTTCCCTGTTTTTTTTTTCTGGTTTAAATATGCTACAGATGAATCATAGTCAGTAAATGTGTAATGGGAATGGGCCAAAAATGTACAATTGCCTGGACTCATTAAATTATGTTAATGATAGGAAATAGAAGAACACTATTCCCAGTCAACCATCAGAAAACCAAAGCAAATGTAAGGGGTAAAATGGTTAAACTTAGACCAAACTGCACATCAAAAGTAATGTATTATGAAGCATTAGACAATAGAGGCATGGTACTTCGAAAATGCACAAGAAAGAAACCAAAGCAAAACCAAGGGGAAATCATAATAACAAATTAAAAGAAATGAAAATTATAAATTGATATACTTGAATCCTCTTTTGAAACCAAGAAACAGGTTCTTTAGAAATAACAAAAAAAAGTTTATTACATATAGTCTGGATGTTTACAACCTTTAACAGTAGGATACTTACCTGCATAAAAGTCATTTTTTATGGTATTACTCTTTGAAGCTGCACATGGTTCGAGCTATCGTTAGGGTGTTGGCTAACCGATCATTTAACTACAATATTTATATGCCCACTTAGTTTATCCCGCAACCCCTGAAAGCAAGACTATACAATTTATAACACCTTCAAATGAAACCCATATCTTCAAATAGGCTTAACTGCAAGCAGAAAAGCAAATAAAAACCATACACTTGTACCTTGTATAATTATTTGGATTTTTTTTTGTTTCCGTTTGCATTTATCTGTTCTAAAAATCCATTATTAGGGCAAACAGATTCACTTTAGTGTAGAATTTCAATCACTGATCGATTATGCACACCAATAAAAAAAATCAAAAACCACAACATATGATTCACCAAATGCATAAAGAAAGAGGAGGTGTTTGAAAAGGACCACATCAAACTTGAACACCAGGGATTGATTTTAAAAAAAAAGCTTAATTGTTAGATAATCTCACTGGTTTGTAATTAAAACAGTGTTGTAGCGGTGGTGGCGAATGAAATTGAAACACGTACTCGTTGGAAATCGGAGATCAATCATTGATCAGAACAACCGCATACATCGGAAGTGAGACATGATACAATGGCAGAGTTGACATCGTCAAACGACTCCGTTTCTCGGTATTAGTCCACACCTAGGTCAATGTCGGCAGAGAGAAGGGAAGCAATTGGAGGTGGTAAAGGGTTCATTTGATGTTGAAGATCGATGAGTCGGTGGGCCTGGTCGGAAGAAGCAGGGTGAGAGAGAAGTAGAGAATATTAGACAACGGAGTTGTTTCCCCTCTGTTTGAAAAGGCAGTTTAATGGAGGGACAGTGGGAAATTCTAGAAGTAGAACACGTGTTGAAGACCAACGACTAAAAGTGTCCATTAAAGGGGCACGTGTAATCCACTATGGAAATAAAAATAGATAAATAACAAAAAAAAAAGAAAAAAAAAAAAAAAAAAAAAAGTTACTAACAGTCAGCTACTATTCACAAAGGTACCTCAGGATATATATATATATATAAACTTAGGTCATTTTGTATGAAAAAAGTAAAAGAAATTTGTCTTTCTTCTCTATTTGCAAAGATTTTCTAATTATAAATTTAATATTTTCTTTTCTAAAATATTGTATATTAATTGTCTTAAAAAATAATGATAATATTTTAAACTACAAAAGAAGATACTCAAAAAAATTATTTATAAATAAATTAATGGAAAGTTTTTAAGTGGTTCCATCTTCTTTCTCTAGTTGATTCATCAATAAATACTAGCTCTCATTTCAACATCTCTCCATTTTCCATCAAAATTCCAAACACACACACAATCTCTCTCTAAAAGGAAAATGAGCAGAAGAGTGAGTTTCAGCCCAGACGTAGACGACATGCTATCACCACCACCGGTATACTTCACCAAACACGGCGATGACAGAGCCAGCACGACGGAGCCGATGATGAGAATATGGACTTTCCGTCCACCAAAAAGCTCTGGTTTCTCCGCCATGAGATTCCTTGGAAGAATCAAAGCCAAATTCGCAAAAGCACTGGGTTTCGTTTCATCTTCACGATCGTCATCTTCATGTAGTTGCACTTTAGAAAGATCAAAATCTTATGTGGAAGCATTAGATTCTCATCGAGCTCAAGCCATTGAAGACTGTATTCAGTTCTTGAATTCTTCTTCTTCTTCCTCTTTTCAGAGGTCAAAATCACTTTCTTCTTTTTCCTATTAATATTCCATTCATTTTCCTCTTTAATTTTCTGTTGTTAGACTCCACAAGTTGTAAATCAAGAATTAGGAAAAACAAAATACTTTTTTTTTTTTTTGTGATTTTTAAACTTTTTGTTTTATTTTAGTATGTGTAATGTGTACACCAGCCTACCATGTATGGCGAGAAAAGCCTTTGAGAAATTAGAAAATTGCAAGTAGAGGAGCAGAAATGTTTGACCGGTAAACACTTAAATTTTGATCTTTTATGCATACTTATTGTGTTATATTAATAGAATAGAATAATATCTATGTTATTTTTCAATAAAATGATACGGATATTTTGATATATTAGCTAAGATAATTGAAATGATAGCTTTTAGCTCAAAAGCTAATCATAAAAAATGAAGTCAAATAAAAACTAGCTTGAAAAATATAAATAATATTTAAAAGAACATGTTTTTAAATAATTAATTAATAATATATTTGGAAAAAATTAAAAAACTCCAAAAACCTAACCTAAATAGTTTTTTAACTTTTTTTTATTATTATAAGCGACTTTTTATCTCGACAAACATTACAGTTTAAAACGTTTTGAAAAATAATTTTGTTTTTAAGTTAATTATAACTCCAAGAGATTGTATATATCACAGCCAAAAATTGTTATTTTTAACTTGTTCAGTCACTTATTTTATTTGTGTCTAACAAATTTTTTATTCTATTCGTATAAATATATTATAAGTAGAAAATACACAAACCAAAACAAGATAAGCAAAAAAAAAAAAGGTAGAGACCTTCATCCCCTTGTAGTTATCGAAAAAAAAAAGTTGTAAGTTTCTTTCACATACTTTAGCTCATATATAATAGCTAGATTAATACAGTAGTTACCAAAACATTCTCTTTGGTAAAAGTAAAATATTAGAAAGCATATAGAAACTTGGGATTTATTTTTGTAGAATACCAGGAAATTAAAGAAACATCAATGTATGATTATATTTATGGCAATTCACTCGATGGTACAAATTTGTAGGATTCATAAATCCTAGCATGTAAAAAACGTAAACCACATTACCCCCATCTTCTAGTTCTTAGTCGTCGCTGACATGTCCCTATCCCAGCACGTAGCAATATGTTCTTAAATCGTTTTTTATTGATATTTTGACAAGTTCTTGGTTGTTAAATGTTCTTTATAGTCATTATGTATGTCAGTATAGTATGTGTACGTAACAATCATGACTCACATCAGATATAAATATGAATTGACTAAACTGCACAAATGGTCCCTGTGGTTTGTCGAAAATTGCCACTTTGATCCAAAAATGTTTGGACTAGCACCAGAGGTCCAAAATTTTCATTTTGTTGCGAGTTTGGTTAAACTTTTTCATAAAGACGAATTTGCCCTTACCTTTTTCTTTTTCAGTTTTTTTATTATTTAAAGATTTTTCTGATTAAAAGAAAAATAAAAAAAGAAAATTTTCCTTCTATATTTTTTTATAACAGAAATAAAATAGAAAATAAAAATGCAAACTCTCTCTCTTTCTCACACACACACAAACACAAATGGCTAATCAGATCTCTTCATCGGTATCGGTCCTCTATCTGCTTCTGAGTTTATTGAAGTTACAGGCATCAAGATTTCTTTGATTTCATCTTTTTATTCCTGATTTTCGAGTTCAAAGGAGAAGCCCTAAATCTATAATTATTGTTCTTCACCTTTACATTATACAGTCTGATATAGCGATTCACATTAGAGTAGAACCCAAACATAAATAAAACTCACAAAAAAACGATTGAATCCAAAAAGAGGTTTCCGGTGAAGCACTGATGTCCAATTACCTCCTCTGCAATCTAACACAATCAACCCCAAAATCGATTATTATGAACACTTGAACATCTGAAATAAATGAAAACGATAGTAAGTGAACTTGTATCTAATTTCTAGAGCTAAAAGCCCTAAAACTACTTCTGGAAATAAATGCAAACGATAGTGTGTGTGTGTGTGTGTTTTTAATTCTCAAAGAGAATGTGTGTGTTTGATATTCTATGGGAAGAAGGCAATGGGCATGAGAGAGAGAGAGAGAGAGAGAAAGATGTTACTTGGATTTGTATGGCATTGTTTGTAACTATCACTGATTGATCATCGTTATTTTACAACGACCTTGAGGCTAGGATCTGGTTTGGTTTTTGTTCATCTTCTCCGGTGAGTAAGAATGAGTGTGCCATCGCTGCCTCATCATCGACATAACAGAGGTTTGCAGTGTCCCCAAATCTGGGTTTTTTTAAATTAAGAGAGAAACAGAAAAGGAGAAGAGAAAGAAGAAGAATAAAGGGATATGAGGACAATAACATACCTGGTGTTGGGTTGTATTTTTTGTTGGTTGATTTGTGGTGGCTGGAAGGAAGAACAATGGTGACGACATGATGGTGGGTTTTGAAGAAGATGATGTATCAGAGAGAGAGAGAGAGAGAGAGAGAGAGAGAGAGAGAGTTGTATTTGTTTTTTATTTTTAGCTATTTTTTTTTCTATTTTCAGTTAAAAACTAGTGCAGTAAATAAAAGAAAATAAAAAACAAATAACAAGGACAAAAAAGTCATTTTATCCTCTTCCAATTTTGAAACAGACCAAACCTCCAATAAAATGAAAAGTTTGGACCTCTGGTGCTAGTCCAAACTTTTTTGGACCAAAGTGGCAATTTTGAACAAACCACAGGGACCATTTGTGCAGTTTAGTCAATATGAATTGTAAGGTAGCTTTAGTCAATTAACTCTATAAAATTAATAAAGAAAATCATAATGAAATTTTAATTTAAAGTTGTACCGACTTTTTATCCCCCTTTAAAAATACCTGACAAAAGGTTGTATTTGGTTAAAAAAAACAAAATTAACATGGATAAGGTTTTGAATTAAATAATATGATTGTATTCCATATGTTGTTGCAATTGGATAAATCATGTATGTGATGATTATGCATAAAGGTCAAATAAGTTGAATGCTTAGAGCATGTCGCATGATATCAGTATAATTCAAGAATAAGTCATGTGTGACTTACATGAACATTCTAAAGTACTTGCGACAACTGAAGAAATATTCCTAATTTGCAGAGTATTTGAAAGAAAGCTGTGTTTAAGTTGTTACAAATATGGTAAACTTCCAAATAGGTTGAGATGATTCTCAATCACAACCGAGCATGTACTCATTTTAAATGAAGAGAAATTACATGGAGAGTAGTTCCATGTAGACTATAATTACAGTTATATATCAGAGTTAGAGTATATTGTTGTTCGAGGAACCACATACTAAGATGTTTAATATATAGTTTATTATGACTATGAATAATCCCATTATGCAAGTATTGGTATCTAAGTCATATAATACATTCTCATATATATATATATATATATATATATATATATATATATATATATATATAAATTAAAAATGTTTGTATTCGAAAAGTTTATACAAATTAAGTTTGTCAAATCTACTTAACAAAGCTTATTCATTAGTTAAAGCATGAAAACCAAGTTGGTGCTATAAGGCATTGTTGATATACATGATGTACTTTATTGAAATTTAGTATTTGGATATTCGAACATTTCAAACAACATATATTGTAATGAGTTTATATATTAGATATAATCTTTAATTAACTAATTGTTATGTTCAATGTTAGAATGGTTAATTCTTGAATAACTAGGTTATTTTAAATGTTTGTAACTAGGTTATGTTCAAGAGTTCAAGAACACTAAACCCCCATATTTTGATGGTGTCAAGGACCAATCGTTTCCATGAGATATATTTCAGATTTTAAGGATAAGGTTTTGTGCGATGCAATTTGAGACAAATTTGCAAACCATCCAAGCCTGTAATATCACATTTCTTCAACATCACCACCTATGAATTTAAGGAAAACCAAATAAATCATAAGTGAAATGTTAAAAAGAAGAACAAAATACATAGTGGTTTTTCACCCTTAAAATTTTATGAGGAACACAATTTTAAATTAAAATTTAAATCATGTTGTTAATCCATAAAAGTGCAAAAAAAAAATAACAATGGAAACGGTAATAAAAAAAATTTGAGAAAAAAACCTAAATTTAGAAAATCTAAAAAGTATTATAAAATATGCATGAAAATAAATATATATAAAAACAATATATTGTCAAAATTTTAATTATATAAAAACTAAACTTTAAATAAAGACATAAAACAAGTTGTCAAAAGCAATTTTGTAAATAAAAAACTAAGTTTGAAAAAACATGAAAATTTTTGTAAAAAGAAGGTTGAGAAAATTTGTAAAAAAAAAAAAGGTTTAGACAAAATTTATAATAACTATTAATTATAAGCAAAATTTGTAAAAGAAAAAGTTGAGGGCCATACGCGAGTTAGTTTATTGTGCAGGTTGTGTTTTGTGTTGGGTGGGACAAATCGGGTCGGATATAAAGCCATCGGATGATTAGTGATCAGAGAATATATATATATATATATATATATATATATATATATATATATATATATATATATATATATATATATATATATATATATATATATATATATATATATATATATATATTACAATTTACACTATGGTCAACAAAGGAAAAGTAAAATTTATGTTTGCTATTCTTTGACCAGTCATATGTCGTAAGTTACGTACTCCTCTGGTCCACAATATTTACTTTTTCCGACCTCAACATCTGTTAATATTTTGTAAAAATTAAACAATTAAATGCTAGAAATGCTAGAAATAGACCGGTCGAATGTATTGGTTAATATTAAGACGGATAAAAGCAGGTTGGCTTGGATCCGTTTAATTTGTAAATTTTTTAATGTAAATTACCTGAAGAAAATTATAAACTAAGCTAATGATCTCATGGTTGTTAAAACTTAGGCAAAAAATTTATTTTTACATAAATAGCACTGTAGTTCGAAGGTATCACTACGATATCGGCTCACAGCATGCGAATAGTGAATGCCATCAACAAAATAACCGTTCAAGAAAACATAATAATAACTTTTTCATGTGATTTTGGATATGGCAACCACAATATTGTAAAATTTTAAAATTTTAGTCCACAAAATGTTATTTATTATTAAAATGTTATTTGTTTTTTCGAAATTAAAATTTTTGTAGTCCGCAGACCACGTCTGTAACTTTCTGCGGCAGAAGAAGTTGATCAAATGTTTGCAAACTATAATAAAAAGTTTGTTTATTTTTA